ACTTGTGTCGCTAAAGTTTCGTCTGAACGAAGTTACGGAAAGTTAATTAACAAACGGAGACGTAACAATACCTAGTCGGTTTAAGTCGCCGTATGGTCATCACATTTCTTTGGGTCCCTAACCATATAGGAATCCAGGGAAATGAGTTAGTTGATAATCTTGCCAAGAATGCGTTAGCCTATCCAGGGGTCACAAACGTTTCTTTTGAGCTTGGTGACCTCTATGGCCAGGTTTATCAATATATTTTAGATTCCTGGCAGAGTAGATGGAATTCAGTGCATGTTACTAATATCTACAAGAAAATTGTTCCTGTTGTTTCTTCACACATCAAATATGAATGTACAAACAGACACCAAGAAGTAATTATCACACGCCTCCGTTTTAATTGCACTACTTGTATTTTGTACAGATGTCCATTTAGACCCATTCTCCATTTGGGTGCACCCATTGTTCAAATTTTGAAGACCCCGAGCATGTTTTAATGGAATGTACATATTATCAAAGAGATCGAGCAGCCATAAAACAACAGATGGGTAACATAAACGTCCCTTTTACCTACCACTCTCTATTAACTACGAATTGTCTCTATCCTGCAATATATAACTTCGTTATTAGAAATAACATAAAAATTTAATGTCCTTTCTATTTACTAATAGGGCTACTTTCTTTATCCTTGTTTCCAATGGCTGGAGTCGCCCCAGTCGAAAACTAACTGTGTAAACTTTCCTTGTGTTTTATCCCAGTAACGTGACATTTTAGGAATTTTAATGTCAAACAATTAACTACACAAAAAATTAATAATAATAAAAATATATATATAATAAAAAAAAATATATGTAACTACTAACTTCTTGTTAAATGGCAGTATATATTTCAACAAAATCAGGTCAGGGAATTTGGGGGCATATTATCTGCTGATGGCGCCCCCATAACTCGCAAAAAAAAAAAGAAAAAAAAGACTTATTGCACATTTGCCATGCATGCGCGTTATATCTACGCATATGTGCTGTGATTTGGCGGCACGGCGGCAAACACTGTGATGTTGTGAGGCGTAACGTTAAACATGATAATAACATTAGCAATTTAAAAAGTTTTAATAAAAGTTGACTAACTAATAGTAATAATTATTTAGAGCTATAGAACTAAGTTCATTCTGGTGGCGTGAGCAGTTAACTAATCATACTTTTACTTGTGGCAATCTTGGTCATAATTAATCATTATGTTTTCAAGATGTTGCAGATATAATGCTTTTGCATTTTCCATGCAAAGCATAAATTTATTTATGTTAAACTTAAAAATGACCCATCTTAATAACTATAAATTGTGCAGACCATTAACGTTAAACTTCAATACAGAACTTGTTAAAAGTAAAACTTCCTCAGGCTCAATTTCTTCAAGTGTCATTACTAAGAAAGACATAAACATTACTGATACTGATAATAAATTACCATGTTATCTCGAAGGTGTTTTTACTGAAATTGTTGCTAACAGTATGGTTGTTTATGAAGATTTTCTAAATGAAGAAGAAGAGAAAAATATAATTGATGAAATAGAGCCTTATATGAAAAAACTAAGATACGAGTATGATCACTGGGATGATGTAAGTACCTTCATTTTGTATTTAAAATGTAATTTGTAAAGAAACCATGACATTGACAGTGAAGGGTGGGAAATCATGTAATGGCAGGCATATTTTATTTATTAATTTAGCCAAGTTAATTAAGATACATATAAATATTTATATTAATGTGATAGTTTAACAATTAAGCTGAGAGTAAATTTAGTTTCATGACCAACTTTAGAGTGTAAATGTTGTTTTAAGCAATTAAAACTGGGACATTCAGTCCATAGAAGCAGGCCATATTCACTATATTAAGGCAATGTACAAAGTTTTTCTGTGTCAATGAGCTGAAACATTGCAGTTCTGATTGTTTAAACAAACAAACATTTCCACTGTAAAGCTAATTATGATAATAAAACTAATCATTCAGTAGGAACCTCATCTCTTAATAAACTGAGAGTGAGAGTACTTTTTTTGTAGTGCAGGTAGAACTACGTGATGTTGAAAATTGTAAGTCAGAAGACCTGTTTAAAAACTATAAAGAAAAAAGAATTCCTTCAGAGGAAATAAGTGTGTGGGCCTTTCAGGAGTATTCTCTTGGGCTAGATATGGAAATAAATTACTCAACAGGATCCAAGGCTTACATGAAAGAGTATCAAGTATATGTTTTTAACCAAGTGGGCTGGTTTGACATGTATATTTTTCAGAGTATGTGGGGTTATGACCCCCTTTTCCTATGGACTAACAAATAAAGATACCATTGAGCCTCATAAGGAAAGCAATGTTTCTTTTGAAAGGTTTAATGACCTGGTGGAAGATTCCCTCACCCACTGTTAGCAAAAATCATAGATTCATTCCTGCAAAGGCTCTTGCACTTTGTCACTGTTTGAGAGCTATTCATCATAGAACCTTAGGTTCTATGGGTTTTTTGAAGGACTCATTCATCTTTTCAGTTCCCCTCCCCACCTGTCCTCTCATCCCATATCTCCTCCCCCCTCCTCAGAATCCCATTTTCAGCCATCATCTTTCAGAGGCAGTTCTTGATATTTTTCACAAGGAAACTGTAGAACAGGGAGGTTCTTCTCTGCCAGGTTTCTATTACAGTTTGTTCATAGTCCCCAAGAAAACTCTTTTCTTTGAACTGCTTCCTAGACCTTCCTCGATTCACCATGGAGTCCTACCTATCTCTTTGATTGGCTTTCACTTCTGGTCTTTGGATGTAGAAGCTAGATATCTCGTATGCTTATCTCAACATTCCCATCTCCCCAACATCCGGTCATTTTCTTTGTTTTGTCCACCGTGATTATATCTACTTTTTCCAGGCTCATCTGTTTATGTTAGCTTTGGCTCCCTACGTTTTTGGTGTGTTGTCAAGGCCTTTGTCCATCTTCTTTATTCCAGGAGCCTTCGGTTCCACCATTATATAGATGATTGGATGTTTCTAGTTCCTTTGCATGCCATCTCTTTCCTTCACATTCAGTTTCTTCTTCAAGAGGCTACACGGGTAGGTTGGCTGGTGATCTATGGAGCTTCTCGTTCAGACCATTTTCTCCTCTCTTTCTCCAACTCTGCGAGAGGTTCTGTTTCTTTTGGGGACATGGGCTTGTTTGGATGACCTAATTCCCTTCAGTTGAGCCCGCATGTTAATTCTTCAGTGGACTTTATAAGATCAATGAAACTCTATCTATCTCGCTCCTTCTCTTCATGTGGACTTTGCTTGGTGTTTGAACAGAGATACACCACAATAGGTGTTCCTATTCCTCCTCTGGATTTACACCTCATCATGGATGCTTCTCTTTCTGGTTAGGGTGCATATCTGGACACACAGCAGATTTCAGGCCTTTGGTCTATTAATGACCTATCTATGGATGTCAGTCTCTTGGAACTGTTCACTGTCCGTCAGGCTTTAGTTCACTTCCTTCTGTCTCTCTGGAACCATTGGTTGTCTTTTACATCACTTGGCAAGAGGGCACTCAGTTGAGGTCTCTTTGTTCCACACGTTGGACCTCCTGTTTTGGGCTCACAGTCATCGCATATGACTATTGGCATGTCATATACTGGACTCCTTGAATCTGATCATGGATTGTTTATCATGCCCTGACAAGATTCTCCCCACAGCAAGCCCCTCTAATCCCTTCTGAATAAAAATGGGAGACATTTACCATAAAGGTTTTTCTGACAAAGAATGCAAAATGACAAAACGAAGTACAGGGGCAGAATGGGGTGAATATTGCTGGTCACAATCTTGTGACTGTGGTTGCTTACCTATTATATGTTTTTTTAATATTATATTTCAAGGATTGGGGAATCCATAATAAAAGGAGAATGATTCAGTGCCCAATGACCCCACACACTACGGAGTCCTATGAGGGAACGCACTACATTGCCAAACGAGGACATTGCAGCAATGCTAGGGCACTAGACCCAAATACCAGCATCAGACAGAATGTCCACAACACCCACTAAGAATGCCCAACACTGGTATCCTAGCCCAGCAGGACCAGTCAATTGACCCTGAGGGGGGGGGGCACCCTCAAGGCCACCTGTCTACAAGAATTCAAGGTGAAAATGGTGTGTTGCACTGTCCCAGACTCCATTCAATCACCAGGTTCCTCTCTTTCCTTTCACAGGTTGCCACGCATGGCAAACATGTGGGTGGATGTTCAAATCCCAGAGGAGGCAAACTGAAGATACAGAACCTTCCCTGGGAGGTCCCTTCACCACAAATCCACCTCGAGGGGTGTCTATAAAACCTACTAGTTTCACACCATTAATCTTTAGTTTTAGGTATTGCAGACCCATTTTAGTTGTACTTAAATAATTGATGGAGGGTTTTACTTCCAAGGGATTCAAAATTTTGACCCGTTCTCTCATTCCTGACTGTTGTCCTTTGTCCCATTGTTCCCATTTACAAATTTTACTTTCCTGGGACAAGTATAGCATCGCACAGGTCTATTAAGGCATTCAGTTATGTTAATCACTTCTCTATTAACAGCTTATTTATTTCTCTGCCAATGCCCATTGTTTTGTAAATTTTAGCACAACAATAGATATAACAAAGTGGGATTCCAACTACTGTCATAAAAAAGTGTGTAATTCTGATATTATACACTTTACAATTTTTCTTTCTCTAGTTTCATGACTCCATAATTTATACATTTTTACAGTTTTCCAAATAAAAGTCCAAGTGACTCTCCTGTATTAGCATGGTACTTCCTACTAAAGAGTTCTTTAGCTAATTATATGTTATCTAACACTCCTCAGTGCAAATTAGTCAAGGTTTCTTTAAAGAAGCAACAGCAGCAAGCAGACAACCTGAAAATTCCCTGGACACCAGAGAAGATGGTAATTGTCCTAGGCATATGCATCAAAACAGGAATGTTGACGACAGAAGACTTGGAAGTCTTTTTCCCCACAAGACAAAATACTTCTACTGTTGTGTCCATTTCTCATCCTTCAATAGATCCTGCTAATGATATACCTATACGTCTTGCTTAACGTACACAAAGGATATTATGGCCACAATGCTGAGTTGATTACTGCATTTTAGCTGGTCTACGAACTGTTAATAAACTTCTGGTAAGTCAAACCAAAACCTGAAGCTAGTGAAGATCAAGAAGCTTAAAATTTCAGAACATGAATTGTTGTTTTTCCTTGTAAAGTATCTGTACTTAAACTGGAAAGGATTCCTAGTGTCAATATAAAGAGGGAGATAAAAGTATTGATTTGAAAATTGGGATACCTTGTATGAATTGATTAATGTCATCATTTTTTGAAGAGGTAAGGAGTATGAGATAGCGAATTTTACTTTTATTTTATAATGTGTTTGTTTATCCTTCATTTATTATTCCTTCTGTTGTTTAGTTCAACTAAGAATTTTTAGTTATACACTTAACAATTTTTCTTTCTGTAGTTTCATGGCTCCATAATTTATACGTTAGTCCAACTGACTCCCATGTATTAGTATGGTACTTTCTACTAAAGAGTTCTTTAGCTAATTTCTAATTCTAGCTAGAGAACGTTGAATTTGAGTATGCTTGTATTATTAAACTGGTACAAGCTTCCCTTAGTGGTGGCATACAGATATTACTCTTGTGAAAAATTATGCAAGTTAGCTGGTTGCATGAGATGTAACCTGATGGTCTAAACACTAAATAAAAACCCTTCCTTGATCTTAAATGAGTTCACAAGAACAAATTATTACTGATTGTTGCTCAGAATTGTTATTGATCTTGAGAAGTGGTTTATTTTTGGAATATTGTATTTTTGGGGGAATTAGGTTTTTCTTCTTCTGGTTTTCCTTATTCCTTTATTGAAATTATACATTGATATTTATTTTGAATTGTTTATTAATGTTTGTATCAAGTCCTGGTCAGGTACAGATTTACTAATTCTGTTTTTTTTTTATAAGTGATAAAACTTGTATTCAAATTGTTTGAAAGTTTTATTTTAGAATCTGTTATTGTTACAGTTTAATAAATTGTTTTTTGTTCAACCCTGGTTGTAGCGGTGTTTTGTTTTAGTCCATAACAATCAAGCCAAAAGCTTGTATATTAGTAACCAAACAACAAAAAAAAACACTAGATAATGTGGTGACGTTCCAAACAAGTTTCTTAATACGATTAATCTAATTTATTGTCATCTTAATGATTTGTTTTATTTCTTCCAAATTTATTCAAGTAATTGATTTATGTGTGCTGTCTCTAACCTTTCTTTTGTTTTATTATAACTTAAGATTATGTTTTTGAGCCTTCTCAAATTCTTTTAAAAGCCATTTTTCATTACTGGAACAATGAAGGGCTACTGCTTAAAATGTTTTGTATTTGTTAGTGAACTTATTTTAATTTGTTTCCTTCAACATTTTGTAATTTCCTCATCCACACAATTCTTTTATTAGCAGAACACAGATTTTTCTCTGTGACCATATGTAACATCAAACAAATATTTAGCAACCTCTGCTTATGGATACTTCTTAAATTCATTATTTGCCAGCACACTGTATAAAAGTGATACATTTTCATGAACACCATTTTAGGGTT